TGTGGCATGCACAGGAATATTTAGACTATCGTTATTTTTAATAATGAAAGCTTCATCAACAAGGGCTTGAGTAAGTCAATTAAAATATATCTATTGCAGTAGAATACTGTGTGTAGTTTTCAAAAGACAGATTTTTAATTTTTGCATGAATCATATTTATGACATACAGCAAACAGCAAAGTGTTGGTTATCTGGATGGAATATGTATGAGAACATGTTCCTGTCTCTGTATTGTTTGAACTATTTATGAAAGTGATGCAATATGAGGGAAGAAAACAATGATGGCTTCCGTTTGGAAGGGAAAAATCGGCTGTGATTTTTATTTTCTGCTGAGGAAACAGAATAAAGAATAGAATATTGGGCTAAAAAGATCTATGATCATCCAATCCAATTTCCTCACATAGGATATAAATAGTAGGACACTTTTCCTAACAAAAATTCTGTATTTAAAATATAAGTAGTAATTTATTTTCCCAAAACTGTTGCTGAGAACTGTGATATGAAATAAATTATATTTTTCCCCAAGGAAAAATATAATAATTTATTTCATCATTAAAAATATTACAGATATAGCCAAAATGATTTTTATAAATTAAAAAATACAATATGCAAAAAATATAATAGTATCATAAATTGAAGTATCTAGCCTTGCACAATAATAATATATAATATGTGTTCATAATGTAATAAAATTTCATTGATTTATCAGAATTTTGGTGGCATTAGGGGATGATTTGTATGAATCATGTTACTTATAAACTTGTCCATGATAACTTTAAAAGATACTTTCTTTTTTGTTAGTGAAGTTTTATGTAGCAAATGGACATACTTGAAATATTCCTTTTCTACCAAGCTTGAAATCTTTCCATCCTCTTTCATTTCTCTCCCTTCTCTGTCTCTTTCTTGTCTGGCAGACATCTCTGAATTTATAGCTTATTGATAATAATTGAAAAGACTGACAAACTTAGCTTTGAGGGCTATTTCCCAACCTTATTTTCATTAACAAACTCCTTTCACAGTACAATATCTCTAACCCCATTAGAACTTTTATATGCCTTTTTCTCCAGTATTTTATTATGAAAATTTTCACATACATAGAAAAGTTGAAAGAGTTGCACAGTGATATACCCAATCATTAAATTCTACAATTGTCAATATGCTGTTCTATTTGTTTCATCACCTTTCTCTATCCATGTACCCATCCATTCATCAATTCATCTTATTTTATTTATTATTATTAATATTTTTGAGGCAGAGTCTCGCTCTTATCACCCAGGCTGGAGTGCAGTGGCACGATCTTGGCTCACTGCAACCTCTGCCTCCAGGGTTTAAGCGATTCTCCTGCCTCAGACTCCCGAGTACCTGGGATTAAGGTGCCTGCCACCACGCCTGGCTAATCTTTGTATTTTTTAGTAGAGATGGGGTTTCACCATGTTGGCCAGGTTGGTCTCGAACTCCTGACCTCAGGTGATCTACCCTCCTCAGCCTCGTAATTTATCTTATTTTTTAATGCATTTCAAAGTAAGTTGCAAAACTGGCTCACATCTGTAATCCCAGCTACTCATGAGTCTGAGGTGGGAGAATCCCTTGAAGTCAGGAGTTTGAGATCAGCACCTGGGCAATGTAGTGAGACTATCTCTAAAAAAAAAAAAAAAAAAAAAAAAAAGGACAAAGTGGCATGTGCCTGGAGTCCCAGGTACTCTAGAGGCTGAGGTGGGAGGATCACTCGAACCCAGGAGTTCAAAACTGCAGTGAACCGTGGTCATACCACTGCACTCCAGCCTGGGCAACAAAGCAAGATCCCATCTCTAAAAATATGAAAAATAAAAGAAAGAAAGTTGAAGACCTGAGTACACTATATCCCTAAACACTTCAGCTTGCAAATACTTATCTAGATCCTTGTATTTTTATAGTGTTGTTTTATTTCAAAGTAAAACACATATAGTGACATAGACAGATATTAACTGCACCATTCTATGAGTCTTTAAAAATGCAAAACTCCACCTAACCCCTATCTGGAAAACATTTCATTACCCAAGAAGGTTCCTTTGTGCCCTTTCCTAATCAGTCCCCAGCTTTGCCCATACGAAGAAATAACTACTGTCCTAATTTTTATACCATAGATTAGTTGTGCCTATTCTAGAACTTTACATAAGTGCAATCACACAGCACTGTTTTATGTAAGGCTTCTTTTGCTCCGCCTGTTTTTGAGATTCATTCATGTTTTGTGTTTCAGCAGTTCAGATCTGATTTTGTTTTATTATTTAAAAATTTTTTAACTTAATTTTTTTTTTTTTTTTAAGATAAGATCTTGCTCTGTCATCCAGGCTGGAGGGGAGGAGCACAATCATAGCTCATTGCAGCCTCAACCTTCCTGCTTCAGCATCCTGAGTAGCTGGGACTATAGTTGCATACCGCCATGCCCAGCTAATAAAAATAAATTTTTTGTTGTTGAGATGGGGTCTCACTGTGTTACCCAGGCTTGTCTCAAACTCGTGACCTCAAGCAATCCTCCTGCCTCAGCCTCCCAAAGCACTGAGATTACAGGTGTGTGCCACTGTGTCTGGCCAGTTCATTCCTTTGTCTGTGTTTGAGAGGGTTTCACTCTGCTGCCCAGGCTGGAGTGCTGTGGCATGATCACGGCTTACTGCAGCCTTGACCTCTCCAGGCTCAGGTGATCCTCTGACCTCAGCCTCCTGAGTAACTGGGACTGTAGGCATGCACCACCATGCCTGGCTAATTTTTGTATATTTTTAGAAACAAGGTTTCACCATGTTGCCCAGGTTGGTCTCCATAGTTCATTTCTTTTTGTGGCTGAGTGGTATTACATCATTTAAGTATGGCACAACTCATCTGATCTCTTCTCCAGTTGATGGACATTTGTTGTTTCCACTTTAGGGCTGTCAGAAGACAAAATTACAATAACTTAGTTTAAAGATTGAATTGGCTTTTATTTGCCATCCTGGAATCAGGCAGCACCTCATTCTATAAAGTGGAATGAGTGTTTCAATGAGCTGAGTGGAGGTATTGACTTTATAGGCAGGAAAGGACTAAAGAAGGCAGAAGCAAAGAAAAAAAGCAGATGGGTCTTTTCAGTTACTTTCCTTGTAGTACTAAACAGAGTGAAATTCCTTATTATACTGACTCAAGTTGGCTGGAATCTCCTGATTTTTAGGAAAACTTGCCCATGTCAATGTTCAGTTTGATTACGTGGCAGTTAGTACAAGTGACTTCATTCTGGTTTGATCTAGTCTCCTGGGGCCCAGTGCAGGAGGCTAGTCCAAAACAATGGCCTCCTATAAACCTTGTTTAACAGGACAATTAGGAAAGAAGCTGCTACAAACATGTCAAGAACTACGCAGGGTCTGAATGTTATCCTATTTGCAAGATTACAAATTAGCCTGCTGCAATTTCATGGATGCTGGCAGATAACACAAGACTCCTGAGTGAGTGACAGTTTTCTTACTCACAGCAATAGCAGTGGCCACAGTTACGGGAATTTGTGGGAGTTCCCCCTAAGTTCCAGTTTCCACAGGGTGACACGCAGAGAGCCAAGTGACATCTGCATACAGTTACACAGGTGTTACCAGAGAGGAACCCTGAGCTTAAGGATTCCTAATCTTTTATAATTGCCCTGGAGGGCGACATTATTGTTATCTTCCAAGGCTGTTCTCTGTGCAAACATACAGATACCTCAGAAGAAGGCAGCCAGTACTTCAGCTCGCAACATGTGTAAAACACCAGAGACCTACGGAGAATTGTCTCCTGAGAGAACATTCTTGTACAAATCTTTTTGTGAACATCTGTTTTTATTCCTCTTGGGTAAGATCCTAAGAGTAGTCCTAGCTACTTGGAAGGCTGGGGCGAGAGGATTGCTTAAGCCTGGAATTCAAAGTTACAGTGAGCTATGAGCTACGATCACACCACCGCACTCTAGCCTGGGCTACAGAGTGAGAATCTGTCTCAAGCGTAGATAACCCCTCGTAGAGATGTTTATTGAACCTTTCCAGTGGTCATAAGTTTCACAAAAAGTCTGAGGTGTAACTAGCTACACGTTGTACCAAAAAAGCTTGTGGCAGTGGTTCATACCTGTTATCTATTAATAGCAACCCGGGAGGCTTAGGTGGGAGGATCACTTGAGCCCAGGAGGCCAAGACTTCAGTGAGGAATGATCGTGTCACTGCACTGCAGCCTGGGAGATAGAGCGAGACACTATCTTAAAATATATATTTAAAATATATATAAAATATATATATATTATATATATTTAAAATTTATTATATATTATATATATTATATATATTTAAAATTTATTATATATTTTATATATATATACACAATTTTTTCCTGGAGGACTGTGGCAGGGTTCCACCATCTTGCAGCTGCCTGAGACATGGATTCTGTTTTTAAGTCCCTATTAAACGTTTCTTTTTGAGAAAATGGAATTGTCAGCCTCTTTCTTTGACCTCTCAGCTCCCTCAATCTTTGGGAGCAGGTTTGCACAGCCCGGCTTACTGCAAAACATTTGGTGAACTAGCCAGGAACTGAGACCAAGAAATGGGTGAAGGCACTGAAGCAGCTTGTGGGGAGGCCCCAGGGTGGTGCCACATCTGTGTGGGATGGTGCAGCTCACGTTTTAGATGCTTGCAGACCATGGCGTGAGTACAGGGATGCTCCCAAATGCTGGCAGGCTTACAGTGACCTTTAGCCGAGAGCCACCTACCCCACTGTGGCAAGGGAGGGCAGAAAGGGGCAAGCAGCTCTGCAGCAGGGCAGCCACCTCCATGGACAGAATGGAAGCCCAGCTAGCAGCAGAAGCAAAAGTAAAAGAACTTGAAGAGGACACCAGGCATGGTGGCTCTCACCTGTAATCCCAGCACTCTTGGAGGCCAAGGAGGGAGGATTGCTTGAGCCCAGGAGTTTGGGGCTGCAGTGAGCCGTGATTATGCCACTGCACTCTAGACTGGGCAACAGAGCAAGACCCTGTCTCTAAAACAACAAATTTTAAAAATTAATTAATTAATGAACTCAGTGATCAGAACTCAGCTTAATTAAAAGCTAGTATTATGGTTGTGTTGTGTGTGGGGGAAAAAAGCTGATTTTTTTTATTTCTTATTTTTTTTAGACAGAGTCTTACTCTGTTGCCCAGACTGGAGTAGAGTGTCACTATCGTGGTTCTCTGCAGCCCTGACCTCTGGGCTCAGGAAATCCTCCCCCTTCAGCCTCCCGTTGTATTTGGCACTGCAGGAACATATCACCACACCCAGCTAATTTTTAAAACATTTTGTGAAGACAAAGTCTCACTATGTTGCTCAGGCTGGTCCTGAACTCCCAGGCTCAAGTGGTGGTACCTCCGCCTCAGCCTTCCAAAGTGTTGGGATTACAGGTGTGAGCCACCACACCCAGCTTTCTTCTCTTTTTGCATCCTCTGTCTGAGAATTTGTTTTCAGTTGACTGAGCAACCCCCCTTTTAAAACAATTGATATATTTGGTCCCTCTGTGTGGTGCCTTTCTTGTTGGTATGATTTTTGCCTTTTGGAAAACTTGAAATTGCCCCAGTTTGGCTCCTCTAAGACTTAGTTTTCAATTTCCTTCCACTCTGCTCCTCCTTCATTTGCGATCTTCAAGACCACGTGAAGGAATCTAGAGAAGACTTCCAGCAACCCTGAGACCCCTTAAGAACATAGAAAAAGGTGTCACACATCCCCTTTTGGGGGTCTTCTGCCTTCCATATGAAGTCCCAAGAGTTGAGGGGAGGTTTCTCTTGGGTCTAGAGCTCTGTTCTCTTTTGCAGTGATGTTGGATATAAAACACTCCAGGAATAAATGCTTGGTGCTGCAAAGTAAAACCAGCACTCAGGCAAAAGTTTAATCCTCTCAGCAAGGCAATTTACTTCTGCAGAAGGGTGTCACTCACGTCAATCAAGATCACAAGTGCACACAGAACTGTGCCACACCCACATGGGCTGGGGTCGGACTGCACAATTTGAGCTGACCTGATTGGCTACTTGTACATATTTTCCTAAATATAGCAGGGGAGGGGGACGTGAGGTACAGAGGTGGATTGAGTGAGACGTGCAGTTTCGGGGGAACAATGGGTACAGGTAACCAAGGGAACAGATGTGAGTTACTGATTAGAGCTCATGTGAAAGGGAAGGCTGTTTACGGTGAGTAGCGGCAAGGAAGAACAAGAACGTTGAGTTTGAGAACAAAGGATAAGGAAGTTAACAGGCTAAACCCTTTGAAGAGAAACTCAGAAAGATTTATTGTTTCTTATGAGTCAGTTCTCTGGTTTCTTTAGCTTTGGGAGTACCAGGGATGCCTTTGTGCTATGAGAGAGCATGATCTTTGGATGTGCAGTGGCTGAAAAGTCACCAGTGAGGGCTGCGGTTTTGGAGGTTTATAATGAGTGGTTATGACTGCAGGGGGCTACTTGTTTCTTCGCATGTTTAGATAAGAAAAGCATGGCTTGGACACCTACAGGCTATGTATCTTAGTCCATTTTGCATTGCAATAAAATAATCACCTGAGGCTGGGTCACTTACATAGAAAATAGGTTTATTTGGCTTACAGTGTTGCAGGCTGTCCAAGAAGCATTGTGCTGGCATCTGCTTCTGGTGAGGGCCCCGGAAAGCTTCCACTCATGGCAGAAAGTGAAGGGGAGCAGGAGAGAGAAAGGAAAAGAGAGGGAGGGAGGTGCCGGGTTCTTTCACAGTCAGTTCTCTCTGGAACTAAGAGTGAGAACTCACTTTTGAGAGAATGGCACCAAGCCATTCATGAGGGATCTGCCCCTGGATTCCAAATGCCTCCTGCCAGGCCTCACCTCCAACCTGGGGGATCAAATTTCAACATGAGATTTCGAGGGGACAACTATCCATTCTATAGCACTACGGAAACACTTGCCACCAAGGGACAAGACTCCCGTGGGGGATGGGCTGATCACAGAATGGGCTGCTTGGCGCTGACTTGCCCACCAGCCTCAGGGGAACGTCCATGCAATGAGGTGCACTATGGAAGCATTGCACTGCCCAGGCCTGTGCTGTTTCCCTCTTCCGGGGAATGTGAAAAGAGACACAAAGTGAGCACGTGCTGTTGGGAAAATGGTGCCGATACACTTCCTCCATACAGGGTTTCCACAAACCTTCAATTTGCAAAAGATGGTGGTATCCGTGAAGCACAGATAAACAACAAAAGTTGAAGGTTTGTTCAAAGCAAAGTGAAGCGAAATAAAACGAGGTCTGCTTGTTATAAGATTCATAAAAGAAAACCCAGAGAGCTCTGCTCCAGTCACTACTGCTACTAAGAACCTGCCCCAAAACATAGTGGTTTAAAAGAAAAAGAATCATTTCATTAGCTCACAGATCTGTGTTTGGGGCTGAGTTTTATTGGGGGAGCTCCTCTTGGATCCACGTGGTGTCAACGGAAACAGATTGAAGGCTGAGACTGATTAAACTCTTCTTAACTCTCCTCGTGATAGTAAAACTCCGTTTTCTATACTCACTGCCTCTGACTTTCTCCTGCCCTGTTCTCCTTTTAAAATTATTTTTAATGATTCATTTTGAAATAATTGCAAGCATAGAGAAAATTTGCCAGAAAAGACTCCCATTCTCCCCAGTTATTAGTACAATTAATAATAACAGATTCCCCAGTTATTAGTGCAGCCACTGTGGAGAACAGTATGAAACTTCCTTAAAAAACTACAAATAGAACTACCCATACCCACCAATCCCACTGCTACCCATTTACCCAAAGGAAAGGAAGTCAGTATATCAAAGAGGCATCTGTGCCCCTGTGTTTATTGCAGCAGTAATCATAATAACCTGGATGTGGAATCAAACCAGGTGTCCAACAACAGATGAATGCATAAAGAAAATGTAGTGTATTTACACAATGCAATGCTATTCAGCCATAAAAAAGCGTGAAATCCTGTCATTCATGGCAACATGGATGGAACTGAAGGACGTTATGTTAAGGGAAATAAGGCAGGAACAGAAGGTTAAACACCACATGTTCTCGCTCATATGTGGAAGCTAGAAAAAGTTGATCTTGGTTGGGCACGGTGGCTCATGCCTGTAATACCAGCACTTTGGGACCCTGAGGCAGGAGGATCCTTTGAGTCCAGGAGTTCAAGACCAGCCTGGGTAATATAGCAAGAATCCTGTTTCTATGAAAAAAATTTTTTTTATTTCATAGAAGTAAAAAATAGAACAGAAGTTACTAGAGGCTGAGAAGGGTATGGGGAAGGGGGGATAGGGAGAGATTTGTTCAAGTATACAAAATCACAGTGAGATAGGAGAAATGAGTTTTAGTGTTCCATACCACTGTAGTATGACTGTAGTTACAAATAATACATAGTTTCAAATAGCGAGAAGGAGGATATCGAATGTTCCCAACACAAAAAAAATGATAAATGTTTGAGATCATGGATCTTCTAATTACCCTAATCTGAGCACTACATATTATATATATCAAAACATCACTATGTATCCCATAAATATGTACAATTATTATTCAATTGAAAAAATAAAGTTAACACAAAAAACCTTTTAAAAGTTATGTTTACACTACACTGTAGTCTACTAAGAGTGCGATAACATTATGTCTAAAAAAGTACATACCTTAATTTTAAAATATTGCTAAAAAATGCTGACACAGAGATGACAAGTGAGCATATGTTGTTAGAAAAATGGTGCTGATAGACTTGATTTATGCAGGGTTCCACAAACCTCCAATTTGTGAAAAATGCAGCACCTGTGAAGGGTAATAAAGCAAAACACAATAAAATGAGGTATGCCTGTATAAGAGAGAAATTAAGTATAATGACACAAAAAACATTTTAATAGCTATTTTATAATTTTCATAATTATTTTATATTTCATAAACCCATTGTTATAAGCCCAATTTGACTTTTAAGATTTAACAACTGCTGTATGCCATGTTCTTTGGTTAAAATTAATTAGGCAGGAAAAACATAACAATGTGATGTTATCTGGCTGTGTTTGTTCTGTTTTGATCCTTTAGAATAAGATATTCTAATTAGTCTGATTAGATGGATTAGTATAGCCTGATTTGAATAGTCATGCTCTAGGAAGACTAAGAATTAAGAATGAAAAAAAGTTTAATTAAGAACAAATTAAGTAGTCATTACTTTGTTGATTCTTGTCTAATTATAATATATAATTGAATCTCTCACCTAAACTAGCATTTCTTTCCTTCTTCCTCTTTCTCTCTTTCTTTCTTCTTCTTTCTTTTTTTTTTGGGGGGTCGGGGGAGACATAGGGTCTCACTCTGTCACCAGGCTGATGTGCAACAGTTCAGTCAACAGCTTACTTCAGCCTCAACCTCCTGAGCTCAAGCAATCCTCCTGCCTCAGCCTCCTGAGTAGCTAAGACTATAAGGCACATGCCATCATGTCTGGCTTAAACTAGCATATTTCTTTTTTTTTTTTTTTTTTTTGAGGCGGAGTCTCGCTCTGTGGCCCAGGCTGGAGTGCAGTGGCCAGATCTCAGCTCACTGCAAGCTCCGCCTCCCGGATTTACGCCATTCTCCTGCCTCAGCCTCCCGAGTAGCTGGGACTACAGGCACCCGCCACCTCGCCCGGCTAGTTTTTTGTATTTTTTAGTAGAGACGGGGTTTCACTGTGTTAGCCAGGATGGTCTCGATCTCCTGACCTCGTGATCCGCCCGTCTCGGCCTCCCAAAGTGCTGGGATTACAGGCTTGAGCCACCGCGCCCAGCCAAACTAGCATATTTCTAACTAAAGAATTTGTTCATTTGTAAACAACATTAGAAACAAAAAAGATATGCAAATAATTGAAGAATCATTAGGAGTTAAACATGTACTTTTGAAAGTTTGACATTGGAAATATCTAAAATCATGAAATATTTAATAGGCTAATATTTAAAAATCTATGCTTTAATAAATATCAAGTATACAAACCAATTTGCTTATCCAGAAGTTGATCTAGATTCAAAAGATAGGAGATACAATGCCAATATAAAGTTTTTCTGTCATTTTATACTACTTTCCTGTTTATTTTTTAAAAGTTGCTTAATATACATTTTCTCATTTGTCCCTTTAAAACCTGTATCTTGAAAACAATAATTCATTTGTCGTTTTGAAATAGCAGGCATCTCAGCTATTATTATTATTATTATTATTATTATTATTATTATTATTATTTTTGAGACAGAGTCGCCCAGGCTGAAGTGTAGTGGTGCGATCTGGGCTCACTGCAACCTCCACCTCCCAGATTCAAACGATTCTCTGCCTCAGCCTCCCGAGTAGCTGGGACTACAGGTCCACGTCACCACGCCCAGCTAATTTTTGTATTTTTAGTAGAGATGGGGTTTTGCTGTGTTGGTCAGGCTGGTCTCAAACTCCTGACCTCAGGTGATCCGCCTGCCTCTGCCTCCCAAAATGCTGGGATTACGGGTGTGTGCCACCACACCCGGCCATTTATCTTATTATTGAATGAAATTTACATCCTCATGAAATACTGTTTTAGTTATCTTAGCAATTTCTGGGACTTTTGATGCATTAATGAGTTTGTTACCTTACTAGCTACAGAATGTTGTGACATGCAGTGGTAGAAAGTCAGGGGTAAGGTCCCTGATTGCAAAGCTACTAGTCCACTAGATATAAGATAATCTTTTCTGTCAGAGAACCTTATCAATGGAAAAACAACTTGACCACCAAAACTTCTCTGCTACCAAGACAGCAGCCCTTAATGAAGGATAGCCTTGAGGCATAGTAGACAGCAAATGTGAGCAATTAAGGACTCCCAGATACATAAGAAAATAAACTGCAAAAACAAAAATACTAAGGTAGACAAACAGACAAACTGTTTTTTGTAAAAGTGGTAAGTCAGGGTTTTCTATCATATCAATTTGAAATTATTTTCAATTTAAAATGCCATATATAGCCAACCTATCAACTGAATGAGAAAGCAAAATTAGGATATTTGTACACGTCCAAGAACTTAGAAAGTATAGCACCCACACATTCGTTTTTAGGAAGATTTTGAGGATGTATATTTTAGTGAAATATGTGGACAGCCAAGAGAAAGGAAGATATGGGATACAACAAAGATTTAAACTGACCTAGAAGCCTATTAAGAAGAAGACATGCTTCTTTTTCAAATCAGATAAAACAAAGGCACTTGGAGGCCGGGTGTGGAGGCTCATTCTGTAATCGCAGTACTTCGGGACGCTGAGGACAGTGGATCACTTGAGGTCAGGAATTTTGAGACCAGCCTGACCAACATGGTGAGAACCCCTCCTCTCATCTTTACTGAAAATACAAAAATACTCAGGTGTGGTGGTGCACGCCTGTAGTCTCAGCTACTCGGGAGGCTGAGGCAGGAGAATTGCTTGAACTCAGGAGGCGAAGGTTGTAGTTAGCTGAGATCGTGCCACTCTACTCCATCCTGGGTACCAGAGTGAGACTCCGTCTCCATTTCAAAAAAAAAAAAAGAAAAGACCAAAAAAAAAAAAAAAAAGCAAAAGGCAATTAGAAATGCCAAGCAAAACAGTAGATTGTACAGGATAGTCTTGATTCAAACATGAAACATGCTAAAATGTAATTGTAACATTTTGAGCAATTGATAGTGTTTTAGAAGAAAGTATTTTTTGCCCATGATTCTAGAACTTCTTTCAGTTGACACTGGAGTGCTGACATTGACCACATAGAGGAGGAAACAGAATCTTAGCATATTTTTTAAAAGCTCTCTGATTAATAATACCTACATATTATAATAATGTGCATGCTATTTAATGGTTTTCAACTTTAAAAAGTCAACCAATAGACAATTCACAGAAGACTTAATACTGGAACCCAAGTTGCAGAGAATCTTATATCCTGGATTGGCAAGGAATATTGTATAAAGTTAATGGATCATGAAATAGAGGCTTAAGTGTTTCATTTCAAATTACAAAGATTAAAAAAAAGAAAAAGACATAAGCAAAATAATAATAAAAATTGAGAGGAGAAAGGCAGTAGTATGGGTTAAATCCTCATCTTTTAGAGCAGGGACTTGTTAGATGTTATCCATCTAATCTAAAAATAGTAGTATGGAAATATAAAATTTAGAATCCTGAAGGTAATGATCAAGAGAACAAAATATAGAAAAATGATTGCCTATGAGGGTAGGCCTAGGGTGGGAAGGAGATATAGACTTTTCATCACAAACCCTGCTATACTCTGATTTTTTTACTTTTTATTTTTTTCATTGCTCATCAGCTGACTTTAAGCTGTACTCTTTTTTTAAAGTAATTTACATATATCATGTTGATACAAATTTGTTTAAATGAGAAAAAATTTAGATGGAAATGTATTTGCATGATGGCATCAAAAAAAGACCAAAGCAGCTATTTCAAATGCTTGCAATTTTTGGTTTTAGAAAACCTGGTTGGTTTATTTTTGTAATTTTTCAGTTTTGTTTCTAAATGAGGAGCTAGAGAAGATCTCAAACTGCTATTGGTGCTATTGGTTGTCATTTGTTCAGAAATCATACATTGTGAGTACAGATCTTCTTTTCTTTGTAAGTAAAAAGCCAAATTGAATTTTTTTTTTTTTTTTACTATGTAGTAGTATTTTCTCTTTTAACATCGATGTTTGAAGAACCAGAGATAGTTTGATATGCTATGTAAGAATTATGACCAGATAAATATATGGTATAGATCTAGTGGAAAATATCTTGACAGGAACTTGAAAAATTATCATTTTTGTGTTCCTTGTTAAATTGTTTGTGATTGAACAAAGCACTCCTATGCTTCCCTACTTTTAAAAAATTGTGGTCAAATATATGTAACATTAAAATTTGCCATTTTAACCATTTTTAAGCATACAGATAGTGGCATTAAGTACATTCACATTCTTGTGCTACCATCACCACCAGACATTGCCAGAACTTTTTTATCTTCCCCAGCTGAAACCCTGCACCCATTAAATAACTTCCCACTGCCCCTGCCTTACTCCTGTGACCTCGCCTCTACTTTCTGTCTCTATGAATTTGACTACTGTAGGTATCCAATGTAAGTGGAATCATACAATATTTGTTTTTTGGTGTCTGGCTTATTTCACCTAGTATAATTCAAGTTTCCTTTATGTTGTAACATGTCAGAATTTCATTCCTTTTAAAGATGATTTCATGATATGTACATACTACTTTTCATTTACTCATTTATCAATGAATGTTTGGGTTATTTCCACCTTTTGGCTATTGTGAATAAGGCTGCTGTGAACTTTGGTGCATAAATACCTGTTTGAGTTTCTGCTTTAAATTCTTCTGGGTATATACCCAGAAGTGAAACTGCTGGATCTTATGGTAATTCTATGTTTGACTTTCTTTTTTGAGATGGAATTTCACTCTTGTCACCCAGGTTGGAGTGCAATGGTGTCATCTTGGATTACCTGAACCTCTGCCTCCCAGTTCAGGTGATTCTCCTGTCTCAGCCTTCTGAGTAGCTGGGACTACAGGCATGCACCACCATGCCTGGCTAATTTTGTATTTTTAGTAGAGATGGGGTTTTGCCATGTTGGACAGGCTGGTCTCAAACTCCTGACCTCAGGTGATCCGCCCGCCTCAGCCTCCCAAAGTCCTGGGATTACAGGTGTGAGCCACTGCGTCCTGCCTGTTTGACTTTTTTGAGCAACCAACATCTTGTCTCCCATAGTGACTGTACCACTTTACATTCCCACCAACAGTGCACAAGGGTTCCAACTCTCCACATCCTCACCAACACTTGTTATTTTCTGTATTTTTAAAAAAGAATAGTCATCCTAATGAGTGTGGAGCGGTATCTAATTTGGTTTCGCTTCGCATTTCCCTAATGATGAGTCCTGTGCTTATTGGCCATTTGCTTTTTGTTTTGTTCTGTTTTGTTTTGTTTTTGAGAGTCTCCCTCTGTTGCCCAGGCTAGAGTACAGTGGCACGATCTCGGCTCACTGCAACCTCCACCTCCTGGGTTCCAGTCATTCTTGTGCCTCAGCCTCCTGAGTAGCTGAGATTTAGGTGCCCCCCGCCACTCCCAGCTAATTTTTGTATTTCTAGTAGAGATGGGGTTTCACCATGTTGGCCAGGTTGGTCTTAAACCCCCGACCTCAAGTAATCCACCCACCTCAGTCCCCCAAAGTGCTGGGATTATAGGTGTGAGCCACCGTGCCTGGCATTTATTGGCTATTTGTATATCTTCTTTGGAGAAAGGTCTATTCAAGTCCCTTGACCATTTTTAAATTGGGTTGTTTCAGGTTTTTGTTTTTGTTGTTGAGTTGTAGGAGTTATTTATATATTGTAGATGTTCATCCTATAGCAGACACATGACTTGAAAATATATTTTCCTATCTGGTGGGTTGCCTTTTCACTCCGCTTCTCACTTTGAGCAGTAGGGTTTTGCTGTGGTTTTTTGTTTATTTTGAGACAGGGTCTTTCTCTGTCACCCAGCCTGGAGTGCAGTGGTGTGATCATGACTCATTGCAGCCTCCACCTCCCTGGGGTAAGATGATCCTCTACCTCAGCCTCCCAAGTAGCTGGAACTACAGGTGTGTACCACCATGCCCAGCTAATTTCTCTATTTTTTGTAGAGATGGGGTTTCACCATGTTCCCCAGGCCGGGAGCAGTAGTTTTATATAAATTAAACCTTATAAAATTAAGGGTAAAACAATGAAGAACTTTAATAGTCCACCCGCCAAATAAGCCCACTAACAGGAGCAACTCATATTTGAGCTGGTTCATCTGATCCAATTATTGGAAAAGCATTTGGTGGGGCTCAAATTTTCTGTTTTAAGGTTGAAAAAAAAATTTTTTTTTTTTTTGAGATGGAGTCTAGTCACATTGTTGCCCAGGCTGGAGTGCAATGGCATGATCCCGGCACACTGCAACCTCTGCCTCCTGGGTTCAAGCGATTCTCCTGCCTCAGCCTCCCAAGTAGCTGGGATTATGGGCACCCTTCACCATGGCCACCTAATTTTTTTTTGTTGTATTTTTTAGTAGAGACGAAGTTTCACTATGTTGGCCAGGCTAGTCTTGAACTCCTGACCTCGTGATTCGCCCGCCTCGGCCTCCCAAAGTGCTGGGAAACTTTTTTTAAGTAATTACTGCATTATTTTTAACAGTTGGGGCTGGGTGCAATGGCTCATGCTTGTAAACCCAGTGCTTTGGGAGGCTAATGTGGGAGGACCAGTTGAAGCCAGGAGTTTGAGACCAGCCTGGGCAACATGGCAAAACCCTGTCTCTACAAAACAAAACAAAAAAAAGCTTTTTAATTAGCCAGGCATAGCAGCATACACCTACAGTCTCAGCCACTAGGGAGGTTGAGATGGGAGGACTGCTTAATGCCAGGAGTTTGAGGCTGCAGTGAGCTATGATTGTGCCACTGCGCTCCAGCCTAGGGGAAAGAGTGAGACTCTGGCTTTAAAAAACTGGAATAAAAACAATGACCATTCTATTGTCATCAAGTGTATGCCCTTTACCCCTCTGTTGGGGTAAATAAAGCCCTGCTCTATTAAATAAATAAATAAATAAATAAAGCTCCAATAAACCTAATTACCAAAGTCACTGCTTTGAAATCATCCCAGGACTCACCAGGAGCGCCCTCTTCAGGACTGGGAAATCCTGCTTGAAAATTCTCAGGCTTCCCCTTTCCCCCAGATGAGCCGTTCCCCCTGGATAGCTCTATTACCCTACGGTGGGGAGGAGAATTTGAAATTCAGTTTTACAGCCGGGCGCGGTGGCTCACGCCTGTAATCCCAGCACTTTGGGAGGCCGAGGCGGGCGGATCACGAGGTCAGGAGATCGAGACCATCCTGGCTAACACGGTGAAACCCCGTCTCTACTAAAAATGCAAAAAAAATTAGCCGGGCGAGGTGGCGGGCGCCTGTAGTCCCGGCTACCCGGGAGGCTGAGGCAGGAGAATGGCGTGAACCCAGGAGGCGGAGCTTGCAGTGAACTGAGATTGCGCCACTGCACTCCAGCCTGGGCGACTGAGCCAGACTCCGTCTCAAAAAAAAAAAAAAAAAAGAAAAAAAAGAAATTCAGTTTTACAGTAGTCAATCTTAAATAATGAAATTCAGAAAATAGGATGAAAGTGTAGAGTTTAGTGCAAAGCTTGAGGATAGCCACCCCGTAAATGCAGACTCCAGATGAATAGGGTCAGCATTTTAAAGTAGAGATGTTGGCTGGGCGTGGTGGCTCATGTCTGTAATCTCAAGGCTTTAGGAGGTCAAGGCGGGAGGATCACTTGAGGCCAAGAGTTTGAGACTAGCCTGGGCAACATACTGAGACCCCATTACTAAAAA